ACCATAACAGGACCTCTTTGATCGAGCAACTGAAATCGAGCTTGTTGGATCTTCAATGAATATTCATCAGCCATAAAAAGTGGCACAAAAAGGCATAATCAAAGAGCGGAAATCAGTCTTAAAGAAGCAACAGTTAGAAGAGTATGGTTCATTTTTATTGAAGCAAGGAGTTCCAAAGGACAAGGAGGACAAGGAGCTGGAATGAGTACGTGCAAGATAATAATTTTACTGAATTATCAGCAATTGGATAAGATTGCAAAGACTAGCAAGACACCATCTCTCATGTTTTTTTCTAATGGAATCTTTAAGAATGATGCTGCATAGGGTTACATCCTTTGGACCCCCGGGTTTCTCTGGTGTCACGCTATGCTTTATCCATCTTAAGCAGGTGCGATTCTTCTTGCGTAAGGCAGAACAACACTTGGACCTCCGACGCTTCAACCAAGATGTGCAAAAGATGCTTCACAACTTCAAGTAAGGGTTTGTGGAAATTCTTCCTAGAAAGTACTTGCCTAGGTGGAATGAAAATTTTAATCTTTTGTCTCATTTTAACTTGCATGACCTTGCTCTTAATGTTTGAAGTCCTTTAATCCTTTGTTCAAAAAAAAAAAAACGAGACCATAGGTCCAGACTGATCACTTCCATCAAAACCTTCATCTGATTTGGTTTGAACCTTAAGGTTAGCAAAGTCCACCGGCCTTCCATTAGGTGCTGTTTGAGATTAAGATACTCGTTTGGATGGAAATTGGAATTGGGATGGGATAAGAAATTGAATGGGAATAAGAATGTGAGCAAGAATAGAAACTCTCGAAAGACTTTTTGACATGTAAAGAATTAATGCTTCTCTCGCCCTGCCCCCTGGGGGACACCTTTATTTATTTATTTATTTATTTTTTAATCTGCCAAAACCAAGTCTAATCTTCACAGTCCGAACACCTTAAAACCAACTAGTTTGGATATGATTTATCTACCAATGGATTAATAAATTCACAAGCGGCAATCAACATCTAATTTCAATATCATTTCATTAACCCACCGGGAGGTGAGATCTGTTAAGATTCATATCCACTGGTACACTCAGCCCCGCTTTTAACTTGACACACGAGTTCATAAAGTTGAATACGTACTCCTAGATGAACATTCCTATCCTACCCATGCATATATGTTGCTTTCATCTCAACCGAAAAAAGGAAAAGTATAAATTGGCAGATATTACATACTTGGGAAAATGGCAATCAAGTCTCAAAATATCAATTTTATACTAGTTAAATCCTAACTAATTCTAAAAGGCCAATCAAGTCCATGCTGTTTTTCCCCAATCAGAATTACAAAAGAAATGACAAAAATGCCCCTATGAGTAAATATAACATGTACACTCATCAGCTCCAACATTTTCCTCCCGATTTGCCTTTTTCCTGCCATTAATGAAAGCTGTATGTAAATAGTGGAGTTGTATGTTGAAGAATACTCATTCCTGAAATAAAATTATGATTGGAAGAGGTGAATTGCCTTAATTATTGACTCAAGGAAGCTTAAGGAGTTGTGCTGATGCGTGTAGACAGGTTTTTTTTTTCCTTGCAAATACTTGCATCTGAACAAAAAGGTTTACTCCATGAAGGTCTGATTTCTTGGAAAATGGCTTTTGTAAAGAAAAAGATGGAACGGTTTTCTGCAACTGAACATGAAAGATTTTTTTTTATTTCACGTTTCTAAATATTTAGCATGAAGATTCGACATTTTGCAACTGAAAGTGTAAGAAATTACTATCGAGTGTCCATATTTTAAGATAGAACGCTGTCACTGTTTAACTGATGTGAAAATCACTTATGTCAAAAGCAACTTATTTCTAAGTGATATATTATTACATTTTATTTTATTTCTTATAAGTTGATATTATTGGGTACGATGGAAAGTAGTTGTTTAAAGAAAATTTTTTGTTATTTTCATTTTGGTGGAGATATTGTAAAAGATATGCATGGGACAATGCATTATGATAGGGGGAGTTGTAATGGAAGAATGATTAGAGAAGGAATGTCTCTTGAATGACTTGTTAGATCGATTTCATCATCCTTGAATTGTGATTTAAATGGAATAGAGTTGAAGTACACAGTGAAGTTTGATTGCAATGCTCTTTTAGACCTTAAAGATGATGAAGGGATAAATCAATTAATGAAATTGAATGATAATTTTGCTCATGTGTACATCATTGGAAGGACACAGCAAAGTACAAAGGCAACAAAAGATTCAATTGATGGATAAGTTTTTTTAATAGTTGCATAATTAATATTATGCTAATATGAATATGGATGGTAGTACTAAACATGATTTGAATGAAAATGCAGAGCAGGATGTTCAGCTGAGAATTCACATGCTACACAAGATCTTGAAGTTCTATCATGTGTAATACAAAGTATCCCAACACCAATGCCTAAACTAAATGCAACGAAGTGGAAGGATTTGCTAGTGGGACCTGGGCAGATTTTTGCGAATGCTGATGATTGTAGACAAGCAATCTACGAGTATAGTATTGCACTATGCATGTTATCTTCGTAGTTCATAGGAGAAAATATACAATGACACTATATATCATGTTGAGACCCATGAGATGTCAAAGCCAAATGCATTGACAATATCTAAGCTCATAAGCCAAACCTTTTTGCCGCCTCCTAGAACATCTCGATCAGCTGGCAAATCTTGTCATGTGAGGACTGAGTCTCAATATCAGTAGAAGAAGGTTTATCATTGTTTTCATTGTTATAAAGCAGGTCGTGCATGGAAGAGATGTAGAAATCTAAAACCAAGTTGATGTTATTGTAAATGGGTTACCACATGAACTTGAATTTGGGTGATATACATATATGGATAGTTTTAGATCAAGTTAGATTTAGTTAACATATATAGGTTTTTATACATATATATTGGTAGTATTGGGGGATTTTTTTGGTACATAGCAACCCCTCTTATATTAATCCAAGTTCATGCTTTTGTGTATGTGGACAACTGATATGTGCAGATGTATTAGATGAATTAATACATGCAACTTATATGTACATTTCATTTCTTCTGTAATCACTAAAAGTGTGCTGTCTTAAAATTTCGAATAGAGGTTGCAAATTATCTGTAAGGCAGTTGCAAAATTTGGTATGTCAATTGCAAATTACTGGAGCCATGTCCTAAAATAATTTGATAGCTTTGCAAGTTCAAGAATTCAAAGTTATTCTACTCAAAATTTCGAGAAAGAGTTGCAAATTATTCGTAATAAAGTTGCAAAATTTAGTATGTCAGTTGCAAATTACTAGAGCGTTATCCTAAAATAATTTGATAGCTTTTTAAGTTTAAAAATTTAAAAGCTATTCCACCTAAAATTTTGAGAAGGAGTTGCAATTTATTTGTAATGAAGTTGCAAAATCTGGTATGTCAGTTGCAAATTACTGGAGCCATGTCCTAAAATAATTTGATAGCTTTGCAAGTTCAAGAATTTAATAATTCTTCCACCTAAAATTTTGAGAAGGAGGTGCAAATTATTTATAAGAAAGTTGTAAAATTTGGTGTCTCAATTGTAAATTATTGGAGCATTATCCTACAATAATAACTTTAAGAATTCAATAATTCTTTCACCCAAAATTTTAAAAAAAAGTTGCAAATTATTCATAAGATAGTTGCAAAATTTGGTGTCTGAATTACAAATTACTGGAGCGTTGTCCTAGAATAATAACTTTTTTAAAAATTCAATGGTTATTCCATCCAAAATTTTGACAATCAATGGCAAATTTGTCTCGAGCTAGTTGCAAAACTGGGTATTTAAATTGCTTGATAACTTGTTGATTGGGTATAATGTATAACTTGAACATTATAAATACGTTTCAATATTAGAAGTTGGGAATAAAATTGTGAAAACAAATTACAGAATTACAAAGTTACAAACTTGATTAATTGGGTACAATGTATAACTTCAAACTTAAAATCCATTTGAGCATGTCATCACTTGTATAAATTAGATAGTCCCCCTTCAGCTAAGACACTTAGGGAAAAAAATTGAAGAAGAAGCAATTTCTACATAATCAAAATGATGAATGTTGATGAGAATCAGACTCTTCAACTAGACAAATGCATCACACCCATCAAAGATTAATGACCAAAATGGATTACAGATTAATGACCTAAGCAACTGATCACTTAAGGTAGAGAAGAGACGTCAAACAAGACTAAAATAGAAATGACAGACAGCTTTATTGGACAGCTCGGGGAAGAGACGACAGAGAGCTTTACTTGCTTGCAATGAGATAGGGAAGAGACGATGAACAGGACAAGGAAGGAAGAGACAATGAACAGGACAGGAAAGGAAGGGACGACGAACAGGGCAGGGAAGAGTAGAGAAGGAGAAACCTCAAATTTTCATCAACCAAATAAGAGTATTCCAATTATTTCTCATTATATTAAAATGCCACTCAAAGACCTAGAGACTTAATTGACCTTTCAGAATCTCTTAAAACTTACCTTGAATAAAATTGATCTTTTAAAACCTAATTGTCATTTTTCCTACATACTTTTCTATATTCCTAAAATTTGTTTTGATGAACCTATATACAACGTCATCTACCTACCAACTCTCCAATACTTCACGGGAAACTCAACTGCGAAATGTAACTGCTAAGATCGAAGATGAGAGCCTCGTGTAGTTACATATATGCATTGAGAGGAAAGGCACGCAGAAAAGTTACGTAATGCAAGACAGCAACGGAAACAATCCAATAATCCTCGTGTACGAATGCAATTAAAATGATCGAGCAAGGAGCTCGAACAACAAAGGAAGCATCAAAGAATACGTCGTTCTGTAGCTGACATGGACTTTACAACCCTCCGATTTATGGACTTAAAATCCTGAAAAATGCAGACGGAATATGCTCTGATTGTCTTCTGCCGGCATCAACCTCCTAATCGACAGACCAGTAATAGCTAAATCATAGAGAGCATATAATTCAGAAACACGAGGCACAAAGTAGGTAAGTCAGCGAACTATGAGGGAACAATTACAAGAAGCACGCAAGCTCAGTGCAGCAATTGATAATACAGTTGTAGAAAGCTGAACTGGCAAAAATCTGAAGAGCGAAGATGACCTCTTAGGTATTTACAAGCATGATAATGAACTTCAACAAGACATTCCTGAGCTCAAAGGCAAGATGGTTTTATCACCCGAAAATTAAAGTAAGGAGGACTAGCACACCAATCAACAAAAAGAGATTCTTCAAAACATTGTCTTCATGCCGGTTCCCCTGACCAGTTGGGCGGGTGAAATCACGTGCGTGTCCTCCATGAAAGGCATTATATCCAAACGGATAACCAGAAGTTGTTCCATAAACCGTGGCATCTTGAAAGCCATGGAATTGAATATTAAGAAGAGATGGGATAAAACCACCAAAGGCCGTAGAAAGGGTGAAATTTCCCATCCTTCCAGTTGCCATGGGTATGAATCCTCCCATCAATCCAACGCGATAATTTCCAAACGGATTGGCTTGTGGTGGAGGAGTGGCTTGTGCTGTAGGAGTTTCTTCAGGCCTCTGCCCTGCAGGCCGACGGGGAATCTCCATTCCAGGGTAAGACTTTGTTCTGGGATCAGTCGATGTTTTACCCCTCCCATATAATGGAACCAGCTTATCTTCCTGTACAAGAGCCTTACAAACCGGACATTCTTGAGAATGCGAGTGATGGTGGAGCCATTGATAGAGACATGGCCAACAGAATAGATGACCACACAGAGTGATAACTGGGTCTTGGGCTAAATCGAAACAAATATTGCATTCAAAATCCCCAGCATCATTCGAATCACTCCCTGAGCAAGCTGGCCTTTGAGAAGACGTGCTCATCGATTCCCCTAACCCATTCGCCATGACTCACCCCTTAAACCTTCAAATGCACAAACAAAACCCTCTTCATCTTTTTTTATGGCCGAAAGGGGTACTTCATAAATTTCTCAAGAAATTTTTTTCATTCGCGAATTTTTCACAAAATAAACAAACCAAAAGAACAATCCCTTACACCCAAAAAGAACCTAAAACATAAGAAAAACAAAACCCTCTTTATCAATCAGGGAATTATGTAAATGAAAAATTAAAAAATGCTTAAGAAAATCTGGAACTGCTACAAAACGCAAAGCATCATCGGCAGCCAATGGAGGATAAGATTAATAGAAATCACCAATTTCATTCAAAGTTAGAAATCAATAGAAAAAGAAACTTTCAAATGACTGGATTGCATATTCAAGAAACAATTAAAAAAATACTAATGAAAGAAAAGATCCTCGCTATAAAGCAATACAAAATCAAGGAAAGAAAACAAAAAGAAAACGCTCAAATCAAGCAAGTGGAAGCGTTAATAAGGACCAAGGAATGAGGAAAAGGAGGGATCCCGGAACGGTAACCAGGACATAACGATCATCAAACTCCACATCAGACAAAATGGCGATTGAAAATTAATAAGAAAAGGGTGCAAGTTAGCAAGAAGATTGGTAGTCGAAACTTACAATTTGCTTGAGACTCGATAGGCAGGTTGGGGACGGAAGAGAAATCAAATTGAGAGTAAAGGCTCTTTAAAACCCCAAAAATGGCGATTACTGGGGAAGCCTGCGGAAGCTTCCAGGTTTTTCCGGTTTTGTCCGTATGAAGTAATCCACGCCTCCATGGAAACTCTTTGAAATTATTTTTATTTTATTATTTTAAAAATTAATATTTTATAAAACATGTTTTCAAAGTAAAAATAATAATAAAAATAAATTTTCTTGTTTTTGAAAACAATGATTGCAGAACTTTTTAAAGTTATTTTTTATTTTTTTATTACTTAAAATAATATTTTATTTTTTTATTTTATAAAATATTTTTTAAAAACATGTTATTAAATAAATTTTTTTATTATTTTATTTTAAACAATAAAATATTATTTTTAAAATAAATTTTCAAACTGTATTCTTTATGTTTTCATTAGATGGAGAGTTCCAGAGATGCTGCTTCCATACTTTTTAGTTTTTATAAATCTGATGAAGTTTTTTAAATTTTAATTAAGAAACGACAAACATATAATTTTTACTTTACATAATATATATATATATATATAATATAAAGTACCCAAAAAAACGGCAAAGGCTGCTAAAAATTTTATTATAGAAATTAGAAAGAATAAGTATATATTTTAAAAAATATTTTTTGGACTTATACATCGTATGAGTACCATATTAGTTACTAAATAAAAAAAACAAAAATCGTGCTCAGTGCATCCCACCAGGAAGTTTTCTTTGGCCACAACCAGGAATTTTTTTTTTTTTAGACTTTCAATATTGTTGATTTATTTGATATTTAATTTGTAGAGATTGCTCATGTGTCACATGCTCACATTTAATATTCATATTTTGAAATTCAATTATTAAACATATTATATGAGAAATGATTGTTCACTAATTATATGAGAAGTAACTTTTTAAAATTGCTTAAAAATTAAGTAAAAACAAAGAAACATAGATAAAATATCGCAATATACAGAAAATAAAGACGCAAAGTATTGCAAACAAATTATGATAACACACAAACATATATCCTTGACTACTTCAACCCTTTCCTATGCTGGACGAGAAGTCATGATCAAGTCAGTTCTCAATGCAATTCTAGTGTATCCAATGAACTGCTTCAATTTTCCACTTAAAATTTGCAAGGAGCTCAACATTATAATCTCCTATTTCTGGTGGGATAGGCATGCGAATGGAGGAAAAACACATCGGAGATCCTGGGAAGTTGTTAACAAATTCTAAAGACATCGTTGGTATGGGATTCTGTGACTTTGAGAAGACGAATAATTCTTTACTAGCTAAAACAGCTTGGAGGTTAATTCAAAATCCATAGGTACTATGGGCTCAAGTGCTTAAAAGTGTGTATTTTCCTAAAGATGAATTTGTTGATGCAAAGAAAGGTTACAAAGCCTCATGGTGTTGGTCGAGCATTGTTGACGGTAGGGATTGTCTATTGAGGCACCTTCTTTGGGATATTAGTGATGGCACTTCTATTCGAATTTGGGGGGTGACAAGTGGGTGCCGAATGTTGTCTTTCCTAAGAAACCTGAAGATAATGATTCCTATATTGTGAAATATGGCAGAGTAAGTGATTTAATTGTTGATGGTGTATGGAATGTTTCTCCTATCTGCAGTTTTGTCCCACCTCTTATACTGAATGCTATTATTAAAATTCCTATACTGAATGCTATACTGAATGCATCTACAAATGAAGTTTACCAGGTAAAATTAGGCTACAGACTGGAAAAACTGCAGTGCAGGATTCTTTATTTAGACCTGGCCCTTCTTGGTCACTCTCTACTGGCATTTGGAAACTTATCTGGAAGATCCACTATGTACCCCAAGCGTATCTTATCTAAAGCTGTGGTAACAAATTATGCTCTTTTTAACAAAAGGAGATCTAGCACCCAGGTATGCCCTCTTTGTAAATTTGAAATTGAGACATTGGAACATCTTTTCTTTCTTTGTCCCTGGGTTCGACCTGTCTGGTTTGGGAGTAATTTTGGCTTTCAATTTAATATTTCTAATATTACAAGTTTTGAAGCCTGGTGGGAGTTTCCTGTGGATATCAAAAATGGATTTTCTAATTTTGACATTGCTCTCATTTGCTGGATTTTATGGCATATTTGGAAAACAAGAAGTGACAAAGTTTTTCAATTTATATACCCCAATCCAAGTACTGTTATAGAGCTTGCTAATGCATCACATAAGGAGTACAGGGCCACCTGTGTTGCACTTGCTCCCGAACCAGAAGTCCACACTATTCAGCCAGTGAATATTTCATGGAAACTGCCTGCTGAAGGTTTTCTCAAAGTTAATATTGATGGAGCCTTCAAGGAAAAATCTGCACATGCCTCTATTGGAATTATCACCAAACTGGTGCTTTTTTATGGGGCTTTTCTGATAAAATTAAGTCTATCTCTGCTTTTATGACTGAAGCATTAGCTTTGAAACGAGCTCTTATGTTAGTCATATATCTTGGTCATGATAAAGTTATGTTCGAATCTGATTGCAAACTTTTGGTAAACTGCATTGATCATTGCCAACCTGATCTATATGATTGGAGGTGTAGAAGTATCATACAAGACAGCATTGTTGCTCTAGCATCTAAAGCTGGATTTTTTCTTCAATTTACTCCTAGGAGGGGTAACTTAGCAGCTGTCCTTATTGCAGCTGAAGCTTTTAAGGAAGTGAGCCCTGTAGGGTGGGTGTTCACATCATCAATTTCTTTGTCTTTCGTTCTAGCCACTGATGTTCGTGATGCTACGACGCCTTACAATGTCTACTTCTCCAAATGTCAGATTAGGCATTGGCTAATTTCCTTTGTTGTTCATTTTTTTTTTTTTGGTTGTTGCTTCTGTTTTCGTACTTTATTTCCTCGACTTTGTCGTTGGTTTTTTTTTTTTAATGATATTGCAGGATTCATGACCAAAAAAAAAGTTATAAGATGTTTCTTTGACCGTTTATAAATATTTCATAAAAAAAATCATAAAGATGATAATACGTTTATTAGTTTCAAATTTGTTTCAATTATTAATTTGGTTTCTCCAATTTAATTTTATCAATTTGGTCGTTTTCACTTTTTTAATTATCTTGTTAGTCATTTAACTTTCAAAATACAAATTTACCCTTACATTAATCTAATGTATAAATTATTTTAATAAATTAGCATGTATATATAGTTAATTGAAAACAAATTAGCTCACTAATTATTTCAAGGAAAAACACTACTTTTTAATCTGAGTTTTAGTTTAGATCTCTATATTTTTCTCAATGTTTCAAGTTCTTATACCTTTTGTATACTGTAACATTAGTCTCTTCATTTTTAAAGGAATGTTGATTTGACACAATGTTAAATAATTTTTTTGACATGTTTGTTAACACTGTCAAATTTGTGCTGCTGTGTTAAATTGGTATTGACTTTTTAATTAGCAAAAAAAATTTAAAAAAAGTTAGCCTAGATTAAAAAAAAAACTCTCAAAGAGAGAATAGAAGGAGTGAAGCTTGTTGTTGGAAGAAGAAAGGAGATGTGGGTGAACATCCCTTTCATCGCACCTTGGGTATGTTCGGTTTACTCATCAACTGAGGTTAGGGGTGATATCAATCTCAATTGAGGAGTAAAAAGTTGATTACAATGTCTCATATCTTGTTTGGATGAAAAAAAATATTGAATGAGCTTTTGAAGTAAAATCAGTTACAATCGAAATCACTTGATAGAGCTTTTCAACGTAACGCCCATTAAAAATGTTGGGGGATATTAAAGGTAAAAAAAATATCAATTTCTCTCTCCTCATATCCTCTAACGCCTCACTAGATCGCTTGCTTATCTTCTTCCTATCTTTAGGTCCTATTCATCTTCTTTGCTTTCCATTCGTTCAATTTTCACAAGCACAACTATTGCCTCTCCTCGCCATTGTTGCCGTCTGAGGAGGTGCCAATAAAATTCAACGAGCAAATAGTGCACGCCGTTGATAAAAGCCATTCTTTTGCGATTATAGATTTAAAGGCTGTGAACAGGGGTGAAGAAAAGATGAGAGGGTTAAGTATAATATTATATTATAATTTTTTATAAACAATATATAGTTTAATTTATTAATATATAATTATTATAACTTATTAATATTACATTATAATTTATATTATAATACATATGACTTAAATATAATCATTATTAATATATATCTATAACATTGTAACAATTTCTCTAAATCTAAATATTCTAAATTATGACATTAAAAAATAATTATAATTATATTACGTGATTTATAATTTATTAATATTTTTTTACATATTTACTCTATTTTTTAATCTAATTTTTTTAAAAAAATTGAAATTTTAAGTTTAATATTTTTTAGAAAATATTAAATTAATTACAAAGGTATAAAACAAAAAATTTATGTTTATTTTTATTATTATACATCCCAACTGATTTTTAAATTAAATTATTTAAATAAATTTTAATTTATTCAACTGACTTTTTAAAAAAAAAAACTGTCCAAATATAAATCACGTTAAAATCACAAACTTTTTTTAATTTTAATTTATTAACTTCAATTGACTCTAACCTTAATTATAAAATTTTTTAATCGAAACACACACCTTGTCCCTTCCTTTGACGTAACCCCTCCTCTCTCTTCTTAGCCCACTTCATCACACTATGCTACAAACACTTTACCTCTCTCATGACCAGCTTGCATGCCTTCACATGGCCACTGGTATAGAGTCCTTCCCTCAACTTGAATTCTCCACCATTGCCATACCCACAGACCATGATAATTGGAACCACTTGTCCCCCCCTCGTCATTTGGAAAGCCTTCATCAGTGCCCTAGACGACTTCCACTGCTGACATCCTCGGCCCCCAAAGCAGAAAGGAAGAAGGCTACAATTCTATGTTGACAGAAGTAATCGTGGTAGACTAAGAAGCAACCCATGAGGTTGAGGATTTTAAGGATCTTAGATTGGTGCACCTTCTGAGTTTTGATATCAGTTGCCAAAGCCCTTACTGGTGCCAACAAGAGCGTTGGACAATGGGCAGAATAGTCAGTAGAGAGAATTTGAGAGTTTTTATCAGCCCAACTTTTTTTAAAAATATATGATGTCACTTT